CCAGTGCATCTGATTTCAGACTTCTGGCCTCGAGAACATGCCCTATGTCACAAATCTCAGTTGGAATGAAATTCAAATTGAGGTGATTTGGTTTTTTTTGTGAATGTGGCTTCCAGTAGATTATTTTCTTATTGTAAATTATGCATAGTCTAAAATTTACCATCTGAGCCATTTTTAAGTGTCAGTGGTATTAAACACATTCACGTTGTTGTGGGTAGGTATTGTACAGTATAGAACTCCCTGAGAATCAGTATTGAAGTATGAAAGTTATGTATTATATTAGTATAGTGAATGTACATTTTGTTTATTACTGAGAGATACTGTCATGTTTATATTCTGCATGGAGATTAGAATCATTTCAAATGTGCCATCAGAAAATATGAATTAATTTTCCAAAATAAATCATACAGTTAACTTCATAAACATATATTTGAAACTTTTTAGGATTTACTTGTATTTATGATTTTTATTATTTCTAGCATTCAGTGTGTATTAGTCACCACTGAATTAGACAAAAGTAAAGATCATTAGGATTTGGAAAATAAATAAATAAATAAAAATAAAAATAATAAATAAATAAATAAATAAAAAGAACAGAATGCAGTTCAGCAATCACATGGCCCGGTCTGGCCCCCCTCTCCGGCTGCCTCTTCCTTTATTAGTACTGTACATAACACCCCTTTATTAGTACTGTACATAACACCCCCATCCACACATCAACCACACTGAGCTACTTACCCTTCATTAAAGGTATCTTGCCCATCTCCTATCCTTGAAGCTACCTGAAAAGCCTTTCTTCCCCTAATCTACTTAGGAAACTTCTACCCATGTTTCAAAAATTAGTTAAAATATCACCTCCTCTGGAAAGCATTTCTGTGACCCTCTCAGAGGTCATTAGTTCCTCTTCTGGGCTCAGCTACCCCGCTCTTCCCCTTAGCATGGCGCTCATCAAGCTTTTACAGTCACTTCTGCTGGTGTTTGTCTCCCCCACAAGATCAGGCAGCCTTACCGCATGAACTATGTCTTATTCATCCCTTTTCCAAAATACCAAGCATAGCAGTTGTTCCATTGTGACTACCGAGAAACAAATGAATGATTAATTGAATAAATGAATGAATGAAATATACTCAGTGTTCACTGTCTTGCCACTGTAGTTAAAGCATTGGAATCCAAGGAATTATAATGGGATTTACAATTCTTACTCTTCTAACGCCTGAAGCATGCTCCCGGGGTCCTCTGAAGAGAGAATGTCAATCATCTGGTCATTCAGAGCAAGATCCTCGTTCACGCCATCGGCCGAGGTGAACTGAGGGTGCTCCAGCTTGCTCTCGTGATGCCGAACCTTCAGGAGAATTTCAGAAACAACAACTGAGTGGCTTTCTTCTGAATGTTATGTGCTAGAAAAGCCATGACGGAAGGTGTGGACCTGAAGTCAGAGAAGCTGGCTGACTCCACCACTTGTGAGCAGGGTAAACTCAGGCAAGATACTGGATTTCCCTGAGCCTCCATTTTCCCATTAAAGAAATGGGATCATGATTCCAGTAGCCCTGCACTAGGTTGTTTTGTGCACAAAATGAAACAATGAGTGCCAAGTCCTTTGCAACCTGTAAAGACCTATAGAAATTCTGCACCACTATCATCATCACCGTAATAATCACCATCACCATCACCACTATCATCACCACCATGATCATCACCATAATAATCACCACCACCACCACCACCACCAGCAGCATCACCACCATCACCACCAGCATCATCACTACCACCATCACATCACCACCATGACCATCACCATCACCATCATAACACCATCACCACCACCACCACCATCACCAGCAGCATCACCACCATCACCACCACCATCACCATCATCACCACCAGCATCATCACTACCACCATCACATCAGCACCATCACCATCACCATCACCATCATCATCACCACCATCATCACCACCACCACCATCACCATCACCATCATCATCACCACCATCACCACCACCATCACCATCACAACCAGCATCATCACCACCATCACATCAGCACCATCACCATCACCATCACCATCATCATCACCACCATCACCACCACCACCATCACAACCAGCATCATCACCACCATCACCACCACCATCACCATCATCACCATCACCACCACCACCACCATCACAACCAGCGTCATCACCATCATCACCACCACCATCACCATCAAAATCATCACCACCATCACCACCACCACCATCACCATCACCACCACCACCACCATCACCATCACCATCATATCACCACCATCACCACACCAGCGTCATCACCACCATCACCACCACCATCACCACAATCAACACCACCACCACGAGCAACATCACCTTGTACTATTGGCAGATGGACTTCAACATCATAGTTAAGTCTGTCTGGTTTCTAATTAGAATACAGAATCGTAAAATGGAAGAGACATCAATAATTAGGTCCAACCGTCTGATCGGATAGTGATGTATCTGTCTTGTCCCTAATATTAACTGTGCAGAAATGGGTGATAATGACAGCTAACATTTAAGAATTCCTGTCCCTGGGCCTCGTGTGATTATATCATAGAACTATCACAACAAAATAAGTGTTGTTCCCTCTACTTTACATATAAAGAGACTGCAGCTCAGGGAGGTAAAATGACATTACCCAGGTCCACACAGTTCATAAGGAGTCGGGCTGCTGTTTGATCCCGAGCTGATCTAACTCTGGGCGCTGTCTCCTGTTTTACAGCATTTTGTCTCACTGGTTGCCACCACACAGGCAAAAATAAAGAGAAATGTGAAGAGTTCATTCTGTGATGTAGGAAGAAAATACTTAGAGGGTCTTCAGACCGTAAATCAAATTAATACTTTGCTTTTGTCTCTGCAGTTGTGATGATCAGCTTTTAATCTCCAGGGAATGATTCCTCGTCTTTCATCAAAGCAACAGGGTAAATTTTGCTCTTCTGTGATTGATAACAGCTTTGGGAAAGGAAATAGAATGTCTGTTTATGTGGGCCATTTTTCGTTTCCTCACTTCTGCCTGCCAAGGAGATTGAGGGCTGATCTCAGTTTGAAATGACAATCCTCTGCTCTCGGAAGCTGGAACAAAATGAGCCACGGGACAGGATTTATAGCCTCCAGGGAGGGGGCCCCAGGCCAGGTCCCTGCGCTTGGCCCCTGGAAGCAAGCTATCTAACTCCATGGGCCTGCTTCCTCAGTGCAGAGCCAGGGGGAAGGGGGACAGATGTCCAAGGCACTGGACCTCTGCGTGACACTGAGTCACAGGGGCTCTGGCTCTCTGGGACCCGAGACAAATGACCCACAAGGGCACTCAGTCCCGGCAGTGCCTTCTGGAAGCAGCTCCACAGGGCTCATCTCACCCTGCGAACTGTCACCCTGTCTTCCTTCCTGTCTGTCCACCCACTGATGGGCCAGGGGCTCATTTCTTCCTTCGCACACTTACTGAGTGCCCTGTAAGTGCCAGGCTCCGTACCAGACAATGGAGACTACAGCAGACACCATCCATTTCTGCCCATGTCCCCTCACTCTGGCCACTTCAGTGCCCCGTAGCCCAGATCCACCAGCCAATACCTACGCTTCCTTCCCTGAAGGCTTTTGCTGGCCCCCCATGACCCATTAGAGCCCATGACTGGGAACTAATGTCACCTTTGTCCTGGCCCTCTTGCCCCCTTGTCCTCAACTGATGACCAGTGGGACTTGCTGGATAAATACCCCAGCTCCTGCTCCCCTGAGGCAGGATGACTTTGAAGCTAGTCCTACACTGTCCCCGGAGCTCCCGCACAAGGCAGAGCCCCAGGTGCCCACGGTGGTAACTAACCGGCTGCTTTCCCTTCTGGCCCGCTTCCTGTCCCTGGGATCACTTCCACTCCAAATTACTTGCATCTGGATCCTGGTCTCAGGAACCCAGAACAAGACAGGAATTCAGGGACTGGGGAGTTCACCGACGGGCCTCACAGATTAGGGTAAGTGCCGGGGGGTCTACAGAAGCTAGTCTAGGAACCCAAAGAGAGGGCCCTACCTAGCCAGAAAGCGGTCAGGGACAACTTCCAGGGAGAGAAGGCCCAAGCTGAGTATCACAGGACGGGTCAGAACCACACTCCGAGGAGCGGGCAGAGGACTGAGGCGCATCCAGTGTGCGTGCGGAGTGCTCGGCGCTCCGGGGGAATGCCGTTACCGGGTGGAGTGGACGCTGAGCTGTGAGGCAGGAAGGGGCAGGAGAGGGGGCAGAAACTGGGCCTCGGGGGCTTATAAGCCATTCCAAGGAGTCCAGACTTCCCTGAGGGTAAGGGAGTGAGCCCCAGAGACTTCTCAGCAGAGTGCACACTAGGACCTGACTTGGGGTGTGGCATGAACACAAAGCTGGCCGTGCAGGGGATGCTCAGCTATCCAGTTAGACTGCAGAGGTTCTCAGCTCTAGACGTTCGCCAGAATCATCCAGGGAGCTCTTAAAAATGACTAATGATGGGGACACATCCCGGACAATCTAATCAGAGTCTCTGCAGATGGGCCTGGACATGAGCGTTGGAGCACAGCTCCCCGGGAGAGTCTGACATCCACCCAGGGGTGAGGCCATCGCAGTGAGGGATACACTTCTACCTCGCATCTCCTGTCAGCCATGCTACCCTCCAGGAAGAAGACGCACAAGGACACTCACCTGACGTCCGGCGAGCACGTTTCCCTTCAAACACTCGTACCGAACAAGGAAGAAAAGTGAGACCCAGGTGAGCCCAAGGGAGCCGATGAAGGCCGTGAAGAACCCTGCAGCATGAAGACCATGGTCTGGCAGAACCTACGGGGACAGGAGAGAGGGATTAGCCCGTGGTCACACTTTCCACCTTTCAAGTCAAGTTACAACTAAGTTACAGCGGAACAAGCCCTGAGTCCGTGAGATGCTACCTGGGTTTGGCCCCAGTGCTGCCACCTTCTGGCTGCCTTGCGACAGGCCCTGGACCTCCCCAGCCTGTTTCCTTACAGTGTGGCTTCCACAGAGCAAGCACATTTATAAATGTTAAACGGGACAATACTTCAAGGAACTGAGCACGGCGGCTTTCATCACAGCAGGGCCATCCGCCCCAAGCCTGCCACATCACAGGCACTCAAGAATGTGAGATTCCCAGACCAGACATGTGACAAATGTAAGGCAGCACCTGGGACCCAAGAAAAGTCCCGAGTCGGGGGCAGAGTTCTGCAGAGGCCCGAGGGACGGGTGTGCTCTGGCCCTCCCTTGATGTTGCCTGCTCCCCCTGCCCTGGAACCCTTCCCGTGCGAGGTGAGCCCACCCTGGACTTCAGGATGACGCTGGGGGATGCACATGACAGGGAAGCATCATGGTGGGAGGCAGGCCAGCTGCGGGGCACTGGAGGGGCCCGGCCGCGGACCTTAGAGCTCGTGGGCTTCACATGCCCGGTCTGCACCTCTCTCCCCCAAGGCTCCTCAGGACTCAGTCAGCCACAGCCCCGAGCATCCGGCCTTAAACAACTGTGAGAAGCCGGTGAGTTCTAGACACTCCACATTCTGCTCCACCTCCATCATTTCTTTGGCATCTAGAAAGTGATGCCAGCAGCAGCAGATGTCGTGTGGGCTGTCGGCTTGGGGCAGGCTTTGGGCAAGGCTGCACTCTCACACCTGAGCAGGCATCACAACTCCCCGGAGGGGCTCCCCCTGGGAGAATGGATTGCTGGGCCCCACCCTCTGAGTTTCTGCCTCTCTAGACCTGGGCCAGGGCCTGAGAAGTGGCATTTCTAACAAGTTCCCAGGGGATCCTGCCGTACTGCTTGTATAGGGGCCATACTCTGAGAACCTGTGGGCTGCTAAGGGTTTCACAAACATTAACTCTTGAATTCTCCCCATAACACTCTGAGCAAAATAAAGAGCTCTGGATTTCAAATCCTACAGGCCTGAAATGCATGCCTCCTGTGTCAAAACAGCTCTGATACCTTGGGAAAATGGCTTGACCTTTGGAAACCTCAGTTGTCTTGTCTGCAAAATGGGGATAAAAATACCTCACAGCATGAGGATTAAATAAAATGATAGAGAGGCACTTAGTGGAAAGCTGGCGGCATCTATTTAATCAACAAATATTTACTGGGTGTCTACCACGTACCAGGCTATAAGCTCAAAGCTAATCAGAAAGGGATCCTCTCTCCATTAACGTGAGTATACTCTTTATGGGGGCAGTGACTGGGTCTGACCCAGGTCTGTTTCCTGTTCACAGGTAAGGGAGGACTCTGGACCCCCACCTGTGTGTGGTACCCATCTCTGCCCCTCACTGGGCATGTGGCATTGGGCAAATTGCTTCATCTCTCTTTGCCTCCACTCCTTCCCTTGTAAAACATACAGGAGCCCTTCAAGGATCGTACTGAGGAATAGAAGCATAGAATCAAGTTGGATGAAATTGTTGAAAGATGTCTGGCCCAAATACTTGCTCCCTAAACTTGAGTGAATCTTGCCCTGCCTTCCTTTGGGGCTTTGGAATAGAGGGCAACCCCTCTGGTACAGTAACAGAGAAGCCGTGTGGAGGCCATTAATCCATGATGCTGTCAGAAGGTGGCCTCAAAAAAGGTCTGGACTAGGACCCACACCTTGTGATCATACTTTCATCCTATGGAGTGTTTACACCAAAATGTCTATACTTGAAAATAAAAGGGAAAAAATGCCTCTGTCCCTAACAAGAAGCCTTAACATGGCCAACACTTCAGCCAAGCAATTTCATATCTAGGATTTTCTCCTCAGGAAATAATTCAAACTATGCAGAGGGATTTACAAACAAGGTTGGTTTGATCCAGAAATATGCACAAGGATGTATTTATACATAAAGCTGTTTTACAGAGGATTACATAAAGTAACAGACATGTGTATGTATCCTAAATGCCCCATGATAGGGACAATGGTTAAATATTTTAAGCTTCTATAAATTACTCCATCCGTATAATGGGCAATAATGCAGTCATTTTATTAGAGTTAAAAAGCAGAATAATGTATGCATACTAGTGGGGGGAAGTTCTTAACAGAAGTGAAGGGTTTAAAAAGCAAAGCAAATTTCCTGGGTTACGCTCTCCTATTGACTTCTAATCCTGCTCCCAGAGGCATCTTAAACACATACTGTTTTTCGTTTCTATGGCTTAATTAACCAGAGGGCTAGTTAACTTAAATACTCTAAAAACTGTGCATGTGTCTTTATTTCTTGCTTTACCAACATTACACATTACTTGCTGAATTCCTGCTATGACAGGTATGGATTTAAGTCACAAATTTTTTACCCTACAAATTTGTAGTTTATAACCTATAAATATCCCTCCCCATATTTCCTACCAATTTTCTTGGTTATTTTTCATTTTTCCATTAGTACCTTTGTAACTGTAAATTAAGAAGTGAACTTCAGTATTTGCAGCGGTTAAGTTTGCAGAGTATCTATATCTATCTTCTTGTCTTTTTTGCTAACAAAGATACTGAAATTAGTGCCTCACACCTGGCTCACCTCTCTTTCCCCAACTCTTCCTTCTGGAATTTATTAGGTTTTTTTAACATACATGTTTTGTTCTGCTACCACAATAACGTCTTTGAGGTCTTCATAGATTAATTTTAAAAACTAAAAATAAAAAATGTAAGAAGGCAGTATTCTTATTACGAATAGGCAAATGTTATTCACTGCAGAACAAAGTAATTGGATGTAACCCCCTGTTTGTAAATAGCTGCCCATCAAAGTGGTCTATTTCTAATGAATACTTTTTTCATTCTAATGTCCCTTTTTCATACTTTATCAATTATTCAAAAGCATGCCATGTCTTTAGTTCCCTTCAATTTGGACCAACACTTCTTTTTGTGTAGCTTTTTCTTTTTCCTGAGGTTTCTCATTGCCTTTCTCTTCTCTTCTGATTTATACCCATTTCCTTAATGATATTATTTGTTGTAAGGAATGAATTTTTTTTTTCCCTTTAAGTCATCATTCCCGGAGTTCTTTGACATTCTGATCTAATCAGGCTGGTTACTTCCTAGGCTTGCTGACTGCTGTTATTTGGAGCTCTCTCTTTACAGCTTTCTGTATTGTCACAACATTGTGGATTAAAGTAAAGCTATGTTTCTTGGACCACATTCTTTTTTTTCTTTCCAATTTGATGGAACATTCTCATTCTCAGTATTTATTTGTTCTCAATTAAATTTGTTTAGAAAATACTTTTTATCTCTCATGTCTTAAAATACTGCTCCTCTGACCTCATCTGATTGATAGCTTGGCTGGATCTATAACTCAGGTCCGTAATCATTTTCCTTCAGAACACTGGCAAGTGGCACCCCAGGGGTTTGTGTCATAAGTGTGCCTGATGAACTCTCAGAAGGATCTGGTTTTGCTTTCTAGGAGCTTCAAGTTTTCCCTGTTCCCTTGGAGTTCTGAATATTCAACCATTTAAATGAAGATTTGGAATATTTTTTAAATGTAGTAAAATACACGTAACACAACATTTACCATCTTAACCATTTTTAGGTGACCAGTTCAGTTGCAACAAGTACAACCATATTGTTCTGCAACCATCACCACCAACCATCTTCAGTTTTCATCTTGCAAAACTGAAACACTGTCCCCATTAAACAACTCCCCATTCCACGTTTCCCTCCCCCCAGGCCCTGGCAATACCATTCGCTTTCTGTCTCATGAATTTGACTATTCTAGGGACCTCATATAAATGAAGTCATTCAGTATTCATCTTTTTTGACTCACATAACTAATACCCTCAAGGTTCATCCATGTTGTAGCCTATGTTAGAATTTCTTTCCTTTTTAAGACTGAATAATATTCCATTGTATGAACAGACCACATTTTGCTTATATCCTCATCCATCAATGGACACTTGGGTTGTTACCACCTTCTACCTATTGTGAATAATGCTGAAGACAGTGTGTTCAACTTTGGGGTATATATACTCAAAAGTGGAATTGTGGATCACACAGTAATTTTATCTTTAATATTTTGAGAAACAGCTATACTGTTTCCTTATGGGCTGCACCATTTTTCATTTCAACTAACAGTGCACAAGGATGCTAATTTTTCCACATTTCATCAATGGTTACATTCTGGTTTTGTTTTGTTTTGTTTTGTTTTGTTTTGTTTGATGGCAGCCACCTTAATAGGTATGAGGTGGTATCTCATTGTAGCTCTTCGTTGGAGACATGTCTATTCAAGTCCTCTGCCCATTTTTAATGAAGTTGCTTTTTATTAATGTTGAGTTGATGACACTATGAACTGAATGTTTTGTGTTCCTCCAAAATTCATAGGATAAAATCCTAACCCCCAATGTGCTGTTATTAGGAGATGGGGCCTTTGGAAAGGTAATCAGGTCAAGAAGGTAGTGCCCTCATGAATGGAATTAGTCTTCTTACAAGGGAATAAAAAGGCCAGAGCTCTTTCTGCTCTCTGCTGTGTGAGGGTACAATGATAAGATGGCCATCTACCAACCAGGAAGTGGGCTCTCACCAGAAACCGTATCTGCTGGCACTTCGATCCTGGACTTAATCAGCCTAAAGAACTGTGAGAATAAGTGTATGTTGTTTAAGCCACCCAGTCTATGGTAATTTGCTATAGCAGACTAAACCGACTAAGACATAGGAATATTTTATGTGGTATAAATGTTAACCCACTGTCAGTTGCACAATTGTAAATACCTTCTCCCATTCCATGGGTTGCTTTTCACTCTGCTGACTGTATCTTGTGATGCAGTTTCTAACTTTGATGTAGTCCAACTTCTCTTTTTTTTCTTTTGTGGCAGTCATATCCAAGAATCATGCCAAAGCCAGTGT